AGTATGAGCTAACCCGTAATATAAATGTGTGACGGATATGCAAATATAAATGAACAGGAATGGAATTTCTTGACGGTCATTAAAACTTTAGTAAATCATTCACAATTTACCTGTGTACCATGGAATACATTTCATAAAAAAAACGAGATAAACAAGTTTCTTTGTTTGTAATTTAAATAATCATCTTTATTATCTTTATTATACATGCTTTTTCTTCAGTCATAATTGGAATTTTAATAATACGAAGAGAAAAATTTTTTTTTGTGTAAAAAGTACCGACTTGCAAATGTAATGACAATATAGTTGTTGTTCTTAAAACGTACGGAAATTTAAACCTTTCATAAAACCCATTATGTCCCATATACCTTAATACAATACCTTATCCAATTCAATTCATTCTCGCAAATGCTTAAATTTTTTAAATAAATGTTCTTCATAATGCGACATCTCATTATAGAACTTACACAACATAATATTGTTAATTACAACGTCTTTAGGGCGTGATCTCTTAAAGAAAAAAAAAATTATGTGCAGTTAATAATAACGAAATAACAAATTCTTTCTCCAATGAATTTACAATGACTCCAACTCCAATTATACAGATATTCTAAAAGTTGAAATTTTTAATAAATAAAATTTTGAAGGATTACATGAATATAAAATATTCAGTAAATTGCTAATCCTTCTCGAAAACAAATTGACTACATCAAAACAAGAATTTTTTTTTTTTTTTTACGATTTCTTTTGTGTTGGACTGAAAACTGGATATTTAACATTTTTTAGTATGAAATAGTCAAAAATGAAAGATAAGAATACTTATAATTAAAATATGCTTTTTTTTTTCAAACCTTTGTTAATATCACCGTTTTCTGGTATACAAAATCCAAAGTAAAGGTTTCCAGATTCTTTGTCTAAACTGAAACAGGAGCTCGTGCATCTATCTCTTAAGATTTTGGTTCATAAAAATTAAAATTTGTGGTGTATGAGGATGATGAATAAAAAGTATTATATCACTATTAAGCCGAATAATTTTATGGAAATAAAAAATATATATATATATAATTATTCGGTGTGTGTGTAATTCGCAACCAAATTCTCAATCTTATAAATTATGATCTAATTTTTATTTCTTCATTATGTAAGATTAAAGGAATTAAAATTATGAATATAAGGTTTGATTTCACCAATTCTTAAATCTTTTAAAATATTCTTAGTGTCAACTTCACGATAATTCTCAACAACATCCTTTAACTCATCAGCCAACAAACTTTTAAAATTTATATGATTCCGACTTGTAATCATGTAATCTTTTTGAAATCTTATTTCCCTAAGATTTCCAACTTCTTTAATGGCATATTTCACCATAATTTCCAGATATTCTCTACGATTTTCAAATGAATTGCGTAGTGTTATGGAAACTAAATTTGCGCTAGATTTATCGAGTAATAATTCGAATTCCTTGGGAGATATATCAAAGTTCAAATCCAACTCAAGTAAACTGGGAGGAAATGATCTGGCCAATTGTCTAATGTGAATAAATGACAATTTTTGATACTTTGGCATATCCAAGAATAAATATGTTAGGGGTAATTTTTTCAATAAATTCTCGTAAAAATCTGATAACGATTCGGAAATTCTTAAGGAGAGACGAGTAATATTTATATTATAATTTTTTAATATCAAGATAATGGAAGAATTAGTTAAATATAACGTTGAAGAGAACGTTTTTAAATTTCGATTCATTGACTTAAGAAGGTAAATTAATAGATTCTCATTTGAATTAAAATTGAAGAGGAAATTCTTGATGTTAAGCTCCAGACAATTGGGTAAATTGGAGGAAACGATCTCATGTTCATGATATTCCCCCCTCAAGCTTTGAGTTAATTCCAAACTATCCAACTTATGACAAGAAATTAATAATTGGATCAATAAAGTGATGTCAGATAATCCTTCCAATTTTAAACAAGTTAAAGAGTTCGCATGTAATCGTATGATGGAATAAAAGATGGAGGAATTGCTCCAAAAATTAGTTAACGATAAACTTTTCAACCCCCTTTGAGATCTGATCAACTCGATGATCGCATCATCCACACCGGAAAACTCTTGCTTATTATTTTTATAAATATGAATCGATAAATGTTGAATGTTGTGAGCGTATGTGGCCAAATTGTTAAATAAATTGATCCAATTCAAGGAATAATAATTGTCGGCAAAGTTAAAACCCTTATAATTAAATTCTTTCAGCTTGTATAATAAGGTTTGGATTCCATCATATGATGTGACATCCGTGAACTTGATATCGTTATTGCTTTGATAATTGATCGATTTAAACCCATTGGAATGTCTGCAAAATAAATTTCCCAACATTCTCGCAACAAAGTGAACGTTTTGCTCAAATTTATTTTTACTGGGGATCCATAATTTGATCGCGTAGATAAAATTTTTCATGTCAAAGTATTGAATGTATTTCGGATACTCAAATAACAAATCCCCATTGACGACATTTGATGAGATTCGAATCTCTTGAGTTTTTAACAATTCCTTCTCTTCCCTCGTTAAAAATTCAACGTAGATCTTGATCAATTTTCGTCCAAATTTTTTTGGAAATCCATGTTCGAAAGGACGTCTCCATAATATCGGAATTGAAGTTCTACACCAACGTCGATTCACCATCGCACATGAGAATAACGCATTTATATCATTATCCATTGATTCAAATATTTCTTCAAGACAACTCGATGGAAGTCTTTGCATGACATTGTACTGTGATGAGATCTCTAGAGATTCTTCAATTTCTTCAGGTGCATCAACAACTTCATTTTTAAAATTCTTTATTGTATGCTTTAAAAGTTGAACTGGTGATTTCGAATTTACGAAGAGAAAAAAAAAATTTTTTTTTCTTTTTTTTAAACTAATCTTTTTCTTGCAAGAAACTTTTTCGAAATTGCAAAGGAACTTACTTGAAAACATACTCGATAAGCAAAAAAGAAAAAAAGGGGGGAAAAAAGAGATTAAAAAAAGAAAAAAAAAAAAAGGTAAGTTCCGGAAATCCCTCCCTTTTTTACGTTAATTAAATAGGAGATACTAGTGATATGCAAATCACGAAAATCAATTCCTATAATGAACCTATAATGAATAATCCCTATTTCTACGGAGCATGTTAACTTATTTTTTCAATCAAAATTTTTCTTGAACCGCAGCATTTTCTTTATGTTACACGGTGGATGCGTGATGTCCAGTATATCTTACCAAATGGCAAATAAATTTGGGAGTTATTTACCCAAATCAAACATATGAATAATAAAAAGAAAAAGAAAGAGAAAGAAAATGAAAATGGAGAAAGACGTTAATAATGACGAGTCTACCTTTTTTTTATGGTTACATTTTGGGTTTGTTTTTGTTTTTTTCTTTTTTCTTTTTTTTTTTTTTTTTTTTGTACATTTTAATTTTTTTTTTTGTTGACAATAAAAAAAATATGGATAATGTTCATTTGAATTATGTACAGTCACAAACAAACAGTCTGGTTGAATTAACTAAAACACGATGTTCGGTCAACTTCTAAATATGGTATTTCGATCATGCTGGAATTTTGTACAACCGACTTTTTATGAAACCCTTGCTGGGAGGGAACAACTCAATCATCATCATCAATAGCGTCATCTCCTAAAATATTTGATAGTGTTAAGGCTTTCTTTAAGGTGATAACATCGGCGCACTTTAGGATATTTTAGAAAAAATAATTATTAGGTTTATAAAAAAAAAAAATAGAAAAGAAAACGGTTACAAGAGAATTTACTACTCACCGAAATTTCTTCCCAACTTTCTCTACGTCTCACATTTGATGCGTGGTTTTCAAAAGCAACGATGGCAATTTTAATTTTAGGACCCCAATACCATGAAAACATGGTAGTCTTGATCACTTTATCCATGCCACCTTCTACGTTGATGAACCCCTTTTTTTTTGGTAAAAAGTTAAAAGTTACGTCTGTTTGAAAGTATACATTATCCGTTAAATTGTCGCACGTGGATCTCATATATGCTACAAATTTATAAGAATAATTTGGCGGTAACCATCTGTTCTTTCCTAATCCTTTTTTAAAAAACCCTGCTATTTGCGTCCCACTTCCGTGCAAATTATCGTAAAGAGCGAAATGACCCAATAATAATGCCGAGTCAAACGTTATGCTGGCTATTGGACGGTTAGGCATTTTCCATGGCGCGATGCATGTTTTTTCATGACGTTTGGATGATACTAACGAAGACATTAATATTAGAAATGCCAGATACTCTAAAATGAAGAATTTGACCGATTTCATTTTGAAACGTTGATGATAGATAAAAATTTACAAGTTCAAAGAAAACAATATATATATAATGATTTTTTTTTTTCGAATTTAATTATGATACAATTCATCTAAATTATTTTAAATTTTTTTTTTTTTTTAAACAATCAAATAATTAATTTAATTAGATTAGGGGACAAAAAATTTCCTGCTTTTTCATGAAACAAGAAAAGAGTAAAAACAAAAAGGATAATGATATTTGACCTTTTAAATACTAAATTAAGATATTCAAAAATTTTGGTACGACAAAAAAAAAAGTTCATCTAATTACTGCGTGCAACAATTCGGTTGTGTCAAAGCTTCCGCCGGAATTATTGTCGCATGCGCGATGAGCATCAATTGTCATCATTGTATGTATGTGATGCAAGATAAAAAGTTATCTATTTACAGATTCTTTTTTTTTTTTTTTTTTTAAAAAAAGTTCAAAGTTTAAGTTATTTTCATATGTGCATTACATTCAGAATTACATCGTGGTACAAATAAGTAATCACCTCCTCATTTCATTCATCTGAAACAAAGCATAATCAAATTTTTTTTTTTTTTTTTTTTTTTTTTTTAATATAAATTCCCCCAATATCCCAAACCTGTGAAAAAAAAAAAAAAAAAAATCTCTCCCTCTCCCATTTATCTTAAGGGAAAAAACTTATTTAAAGAAAAATGTCACATAATGAAAATAGTCCACTTATTGATCATTCTTATTACGAAGACGACGACGATGATGAAGAAATAAGTTGCATACAAAAATGGTGCTTAATAATTTGTTTTATAATTATATTGATAGTAGTGATACTAATTTTTATACCACAGCAAGGTGACATTGACCAGAATATTCCAAGTGACATTTCAGTGATTCCGTATCAATATCAATTAAGTTTTAAGAGTCATTGGTATTTTGGTTATTTGATTGAAACGCTACCCGTGGAATTCAAAGATGAGCAGCCCGAATATGTTTTATTAGCCGAGATAATTTCAACTTCAACTTCTTGGACCTTTGGAGAATATGAAGTTCGTGAATACCGTCATAACAATACATCCGGCAATATGTTCCCTGTAAAAACTGTTACCTCGTCTTTGAAGGATAACGCTTATGTATCATTTAAGACATCAAGCGATGCGAATTCAACTGAATCGTTAGATCCGGCAACTTGTGATTATATGATTTCTTTGACTGATACTCTCACAGGATATATATATAGAAAATGTGCGAATTCCCATGAATTAGATTATACCAAAATTTCTAACGTAAAAGGATCTACTACTTGGGGATTAACTTTTTATGATGGTGATGAGATTTACGCTTTGACCTCCGAAACCCAATATTGGTGGAATATGAATAGAAGGTACGTTGTGAATTTATTTATTTATTTATTTTGAAAATTGATTTCTTGTTAAAAAAATACATAAAATTATTACTTTAGGGATGTTGTCGTAACCACATCTGCACCTTTTCCACAAGTCATTCCCGCCATTTACACAGCTTATTACGATACAATCCAACATATTCGTGATACCAAAGGTAGAAGACACTTTCGTTAACAAATCTTCCTGCTTCTTTAGTGATTTCCACAGAGTAGAGTATACGTGTATATACATTTATCGTTTATTAAATCACGTATGATGGTGGTTCCCTGCCTACGTACAATATTTATTATCTTTTCGTATTTATTTATTTAGATTTTTTTTTTTTTTAATAAAAGTTTTGCATCAATTTATTTTTTAAAATAGAAAAATTTACAGATTTATTTTTTGAAATATGTAATTGAAAAGTGATTGTAATAAAAGAAGCACTCGTGATCCGTATTATAGTTAATTAAAAATCTTTACAAGAATGATCATTTGCATTTTTTTTTCTTTTTTTTTTCGAATACGCTTACGGCAATTACCGATCTGGAACGTTATCCAGAAAATCTAAATGGATCGGGAATGGTCATTTTGGATGGTCGTCAGATGGGTCATTCGTCAATATTTTTCTACGAGGTTCGGTGATGGAAATTTTTAATGACGATTATTTTTAAAATTAAATTATATTATAATATTTATAACCATTCGTTAAATCCAATAGATTTGATCAAATTTCCTGTGTGATTCATTCATTTTCATACAAATATCACGCGATCTACTTTTTAAAATCAACATCAGCTATTTTATAAACTTGATCATCGTTATTTTAATTATTTTAAAAAAAAAAGAAAACGGAGATCTTTGTGCCACCAATAATGTTGGATTTTTTTTTTTCTTTCTTTTTTATTATGAATAAAATTTACATTTTTATTTACAACATAGGTTTATAATAAACTATATAATATAATTAATAATCTTTAAAATCACTTAATTTCCTTTCAAAAATATTTTCTATTAAAAAAAAAAAAAAAAAAAAATTATTAGACACGCGATTATTAGTTATAACATATCACTTCAATATATTATTATTATTATGTCACTCACCATGATAACTGAAATCGCAATGTTTTGCTTCATTAATAATAAAAGATTCGTTAGTGATTACTTTACTTCCCCATTTCTTCTCTTTAGAAACGCTATTTTTGGCATCTTTCAAGCGTTTGGACATTGTTTTTTGAAATTCGTCATCGCTACCGCTCAACCTTCTGTCCTTTCTTCTACATCTATGATTAACTAAATTATTCCAACCCAACTTAACATCTTTTAAACAATTGTCATGTTCTTGGGAATATTTGTATAATCTTTTCAAATAATCAACGTAATTATCATCAACGTGATATAACCATAACGATTTAAAACGTGATCGCGACTCATTTAGTAAATCACTCAAGTGTTGAGGAGCGATAAAACAATTTAAATGAATGCACTCTAAAGAAGGTGGTAAGGAAGAAGCTAAATCGTTGATATCAAACATATTTTCTTGAAAATGTGAATATGGTAATTCTAAATATAATTGACGTAAAGGAAGAATGGAAATGAGGTGTAACATAGATTTGAAGTTTAGGTTTGGAAGAATGTTTGCGACGTTTAAAGAGGTGATGTTTGTACAATAAGTTGAGAGGATTTGTAAAACATCTGAAGTGATTAATTTTGTTGATAAGGTGGTTAAGTTTGAATTTATCATTTCAAGGAGCATCATCAAGAAGAGTTCATAATTTTCCTTGTCAAAATTAAAATAGAGATGCTTGATTGAAAGTTGTGATAAAGGGAAGTTTGCGATAAAACTATCACGGGCAAAATGATCGCTAGAACATTGTTCCAATTCTAAAGTGTGTAAAACTTTACAGGATGTAATGATTCTAAGCAAATTAGAAAAGTCGTTGATTTTTTTAATATGTAAATAAGATAAAGAATTCACATGCTTGTAAATCGAGTTATAAATATTTTTTTTTTTTTTTTTTTTTAATAGAAAATATTTTTGAAAGGAAATTAGATTATACCAAAATTTCTAACGTAAAAGGATCTACTACTTGGGGATTAACTTTTTATGATGGTGATGAGATT